TTTATCTCTTCACTTTTTGAATATATGAAAATCAAAAGTACTTTTTGTAATATGTACTATCCATTTCACTTTTTTTAGATTGTTTTATATGTAGAAATTATCTTTCCTTATATTCGTATGTATCATGTGTTTTCCTGATGCACTGGAGGACAGAAATGTACTTCAGATCACCAAGAACTGTAGTTACAGGTGGTTGTGAAAGGCCAGTGTTCATGTTAGGATGTGAACATTGGACATCTGGAAAAGCAGCAGGTGTTATTCATCACTGAAATGTCTCTAAAGCTGCAGAGTGAATTGTTGGTATGTCCAAAAAGTATCCACATACATATGAATAGATGACATAATCCAATAGGAGGCAAACTAAAAGGTTAGTAAATATGAACAAGAAACTGCTAAATATGGAATTATTAGACTTGTGCAAGGGCCACCAAATAAGACAAGAAGTAACCAGAAACTAGGAAAGGAAAGACAATAAACAAACGCGGGAGGAGTGACAAAGTCAGATGCTTCTAGCAGTACAGTAATATAAAGACCGTTTGGACTAGTGAGATGGCTGTGCGGGTACAGAGGCCTACTAACAAACCTAATGACCAAAGTTCAATTCTCTGGACACACTTGATAGAAGGAAAGAACAGACCCCCCTCATGCTGTTCCCTGACATCCACTCAGACACTGTGGCACCTGAACACATGCACATGTATAAAAACACAATACATAACTAAAATACATGTTTCTTTAAATATAATATTCAAACAACTTACATTAAAAAAGAAGTACAGGATGCCAATAAATAAACTTATTTTAAACTAATTTGTGAGGCAATTAGTCTGTGCTGGAAACGAATCAGAAGTATGTGTTAAATAAGGGTTCAAAAACTGATGGTTATTGCCCAATGAAGCGTTATGAAAGGAAGTTTGCTCCGAAGATGAACAGTGTATCTGCTAAGCTGCTATCAATCTCTCACATTCAACAAGTTTGGAAGACAAATATTTATTATTTTAAGCTGTAACTTATTGTGAACAAATAGAAGGTAATACAAACTTAAAGTCTAGATCAAGATCACGATCTTTCACAGAAGGAGCATGACTTAACGTAAAATATTTATCTTTATTTTGATAAAAGTACGTGCTCACAGAAGCTATTTAGGAAATGTACATAGGAGCAACAGAGTATAACTAAAAACACAAATATTATTTTTAGCATGTATCAAGACTCAAAAGACCTTCTGTTTTAACATGACAACTGGAGAAATCCATAAAATGTTATGTGCCTCCATACAGCATTATAACAAAAGTTTTCTTCATTTTTGTGTGTTTGGGGATAGAGATTATGTACCTGATGCTAGCCTTGAAGTTTCTATGCAACTGAAATTGGCTGTGAACCTTTCATCTTCCTGTCTGCACCCAGCAAGTGCTGAGATTGCAGGTGTGGACAACCACAGACATCTTTATTCTAGAAACATTTATAAATGCATTGAATAATGATAAAAATACTAACACAAATTAAATATTAGTATAATATTTTCTCTCAATAAAATGACAATATTATTTCTTTAATGAAGTATTCATATTTTTAGTATTTTATTTAACACCTGCTCAGAGTTGACCATACACAATAATATTGTCATCATCAACTTCAAATTTTTAATTCCATCATGTATATGCACAAAACTCTTGCATCCATTTTGTCTATACATTTGCATATTATTAGTATCATTAGTTGTATACTAATTATAACCAGAACTTCAATATTATAGTATCATTTTATATATAGTGTGTCTCTCAGTGAAACTAAAAAATCAATAAGTAAATATTTATAATAGTTACTGTAGTATTATTTTTTTTACTTTTTCTGGTTTTCTTTATATTTTCAATTGACTCAAATAACAATCTGTCATCATTTTTCATCCCAATATGACTCTCTACCACCCCTTTACTTCATACATTAATAAATATATTCCACTTATATATGCTGCCAGTTCAACAGTGTTACTATTTTTAAATTGAATTTTTTATATAACTTAAAAGAAAAAGAACATATATCTACAATTACATAAACTTTACTAGTATTTTTTTATTTCATTTGGATTTATAAAACTGTGTGAGGTTGACCTTTTCTCCTAAGAAACTGTCTTGATGGTCTACTTAAGGCAATTTTGTCAGTAAAAGCCCTTTCCAACTTTATTGATATAGGGCTATGTTCGATTTACTTTTGAGTTTTAGGAGGTCCCTTGATTCAGATTCCCTGCTTGGATATCTCCCAAAGGTGCTTGGGGTAACTCATGATTCTGCTGTCTGTGTCTACTCTAATGTTTTCCACGAGTAGTTAATCTTATTGAATAGTGTTTGTGGCAACTTTCATGTTACTTATATTTTGTTAATCATTTTATATGTATAATACTATTTTTAACTAAATTTGGAAAGTTTTAAATACTCACATTTTCTTTTTCTTTTCTGCTCATCCTTCCTTTCCTTCGGCACTCCCATTAAACCTGTAATTGAGGAGCTGAATGATGTATTTCCAGACTTAAAACCTGAATCTCCCCAATCAATTGAACACATTTAGTCAATTGCAGTGAGAGCCCCAGTGGCTAACATTCTGTGCTCCTGGTCAGAGTTGTACACTGTTTGTTGCTGTGACGAAGACCCCAGCTTTTGTCTGTGGCTGTGAGGTAAACCCCATGTGTTTTGTTTCTGGCTCTGAGTAGAGGTTCTGTATTGTGTTTGTGGTTTAAGGTGGAATCTGTTCACTATTTGTGGCTAAGAGGAAGACCTGTGGATTATGTCTGTGGCTGTGAGGTGGAGGCTGTGCACTATATTTGTGGCCTTGTGATGAGAACTGAGAACTAACCACACATGGATATCACTCTCTAAAATTCTGCCTAGAGTTTTAAGGCTGTTGACTGTTTTAATTGTTGCTGTTGCTACAAAAAACAAATCATGACCTTTGATTAGAAACTAGAAGATATGCCCTTTGTTCCATAATATGCCACTCCAAAATTAGCATCATGTGGAATAATGAGGGGGAGAGAGCTATTGACTCATTTTCCCACTAAGTACTATGTATTGTAACTAACATTTTCATGTTTGAATGTATTTTCTTCAATAGGTAATTTGTATTTTGTTGTATTCTCAAAGGACTATTCCAGATGCTATAAATAAGGCAAGGTTTGTTGTTTGGTTTTGTTTTCCTTATCTGTTAAGACAGGGTTTGACTGTGTACTCCTGGCTAGGCTGGATCTTGCTATATAGACTAGGCTGGCCTCAAATTCATAGAGATTTGTAAAGATCAATCTACATGAGTCTTTTTAATGGGTAATAGGGATTTATTAAGAGAAAAATTGAAGAAATGCACTCAGGAATACAGAACTAAGTAAACAGCTGAAGTCATCCTCTGTTCTGACCAGGAGCGAATAGACCTGGCATTCAATCAGACTAGAAATCAGACAGCAGTCTCTGATTTCTACTCTGATTTCTACTCCCTTTCCTTTTAAGAGGTCACAGAATGACAAGAAGCACCGCTTCCTTCAGGCCATTTAGTCCAAGGTCATGGGTGGAGCAAATACCACTACCTAGATCTGCCTCCTTATGCCTCCAATGTCTTGGGATTAAAGGCATGCACCACCATGCCAGGTTAAGGATAGGTTTATAAAATATGTATCTTACTAGTTAATAGTTCTTTTATTGGGAAAAAAGACTGTGCAGCTCTGTACAGTGCCATTGTACACATGGTTAGATTTTATCCCTGTCATTACTCTTATTCTTTAACGTATCTGAGTTTATTCAATTAAAGCATAGTATATGAAGCATAGCTACTAAAATATTTGATTTACATTTATTGATTCAGGATGTTCAGGTTTCAAGCCTACTCTGTTTTTTTTGTTTGTTTGTTTTTTTTAGAGCTATGATCCTTTCTGAGAGAACTACCTGCTTTATTCGGCAGAATTTCTCTAGACACATGTTAATTTGGGAGTGTTTCAATCTATACTGATCCATTTTACCTGCTTAAAATGGGATTTACTGCTGTAATCATAGATCAGTGCCTTGCTCAGCCATCATCAGGAAGCTTATTCCTTAAGCCAATGGGAACAAGTACAGAGACCCACAGCTAGACATTTTGCAGAGAGTGAGAGACCTTGGGGCACTCAGTCTCAAATTGGATGTCTCTAACAAATCCCTCCTCTCCAGCCCCAGGGAACCACTCCGGAAGGGAAACAGAAAGAGTGTAAGAGCCAGAGAGGATGGAAGATAGCAGGAAAACAAGGCCCTCTAAATAAACATGATTAATGAACATATGAACTCACAGAAACTGAGGCAGCATGCACAGGGCCTGCATAGGTCTGCACGATGGGGTCCCAGAGCTGACAGTGGTAGACACCTGCACCCATCCCTAACACTGAAGCTATCTCAATTGATAACCACTTGCAAATGAAAATTTAGATTTTTCCAAGGGAGTCTCTCTGGAGAAACAAATTACTCTTAAGTGTAGACTGCATGCCCACCAGGAGATGGGCAGCAGAAAATGAACTCAATGGATTCTTTGGAGGTTCCTTTTCTCAAAAATCTTGTCAGAGCTTTTCCTTTAAATTTTTCCTTATTTTTTATTTTTACTTTTTCATATAAATATGATAAAGTATATATATATATATATATATATATATATGTGTGTGTGTGTGTGTGTGTGTGTGTGTGTGTGTGTGTGTGTGTGTGTTTGTAATTATTTTCTCTCTCTTTAACCTACTGGCCTTTTGCATATATATTATGACTTCCAGTTTTGTGTTATGAGATTCCTGAGTGTATGAAAAAGTGGATCTCTACATCTATATCTGTAGCATGTATCCTTTCTTAGTAATAAAATGGGAAAAGAAGAAAATATAATTTACCTTCAGTGAAAAGTACAGAGGAAATTTATAAAGACTGAGAGAGATTTTTGCACTGTCATATATCTTGGTAATTATTAATTTATGTCAGTGATTTCTAGATTTATTTATTTTTTTGATTTCCAAAATGCATCACTTTACTTTTCCCCATGAGGTGGCCACACATTATAAACACTGAGCACATGACAATCACATGATCTCTTCAGTGAGCTCCCAGGTAGATCCCGGCTCTCCTGGAGCTTGGAGTCCTGAGGTTTCAAATACTAAAGCTTTCACCACAGCCACAAGTCCCTTTGATGTTGGGGTCATTGAAAACAAACTCACTGGACAGTTTGTCTTCCACATAGTCCATTTCTGTTCCTAAAAGGGTTAACTGTGCTTTCTTTTCGATGAACACTCTGACTCCATCATGAATAACTTCTTCATCAGAATCTCCTTTTGTCTTTGTATACTCTAGGTTGTAGGAGAAGCCATTACAGCCCCTGGTTCGCACACCAACTTTCAGACCCACATGCTCTGGCTTGTCTTTAAGAAGCTGTTTGATCTTGTTCACAGTTGAGGGGGTCAGCGTCAGCGCCGCCCACATGGCCTGCAGCTTCCTCTTGCTCAAGGCCCACACTCTGGCGCGGACCAAGGACGCCGACATGTCCACGACATGTCCACATCGCGGTGCCCGCAGCCTGGGCCCGGAGAGTGATAGCTCAGCCTCTCTCCATGGACAGGGCTTAGATTTAATTTTGATACTTGTACCACAACAATCTTGAACACCTCACCATCTCTTTGTAAATGTGAGGAAGAAAGTATATGTCCAAGTAGTTGATCTACCATTCAAATTGTGAGGCTTAGTGCCACTATATAAGAAATATCTTGTTTAATAATTCTTTACCCTGCTAAATTATGTACCCTTTAATTGATAAAAAGAATTAGATCCATTAATTAACTATGTGCCTCTTAATAGCTTTTAATTTAGCTGCTCAAAGACCTGCTGAGTTTTAATATTACCAGTTAAATGGTGTTTGCTGAGCTTTAGCGAAGAAGTTGCTTCTCTCTCTTTTATTCAGTAGAATAGAATGACTCCTTGGATCTTACGTTGTGAAAGTTTAGAAATGCAAACTTTGTTGTGTTTCTTTTAGCAACTTTTTTAAAGGAATTTATTTCTTTAGCTCTAAAAAAAACTTTAAAAAATCATGTTTATAGGAAATTTTCATTGTTGTTTTTTGTTTCTACTGGTCATCCTAGAAGACCTGAGTTCTAAAATAAATCACTAACTATTCTATGTGTGAACAATAGAGTTAGGACATAAAACCACGACTTTTGGTAAATTTGAAAGGAGAAACTCTTTGAAACCCTCTGGATTAAAATGTGAAATAGATGTCTGAAATGACAGTTTTTGCCCATTCATATCAAATAATATTCTGATTAATTTAATGATATATCAATCAAGTTGTACTACTATAAATTCTAAACTATAATTAGAAAATGAAAGCTCAAATATTTATTCAAATGTATGCATCAATATAAGAACTGTAACCTCTGCACTTTGTAAATTATTTTCGTAGCCTTAACTATTCTCTGGTGATAAAACATATTGAAGAAATATTGAAGAGCTGATTGTCTAGAGAAAAATTATATTTAACTAATATTTCATAATATTAGCTAGAGTTCTTCAAAAGTTTAAATATAATATAATTTTGTATGTTTATGCTTAATTTTGTGTGGATTTAGTATTAACTACTCAATTTCAGGTACATACTAGGAATAAACGCCATTCTTGGATGATAATCAGCTAAACATGTGACTAGACCATTTTCTGACAAAAATTGGTGGTAATATTTATAGGAAAAATCATAGATACTTAAATATGTGAAATAATATAAACAAGCACTATGTGTTAGACAATATTCAAATTCTCTGTTACACAAACCAACTGCCGTGATTTTTGTGGCTTAAATTGTATTCTGTTGTTCTTTCTGTTCATCTTGCATCTGGATATGACTTCACTGAACCTTATGCTAGGCTGCAGTGGGGCTTAATTTTCTTGTCAGGATTAACTAATAAATTAAGGGTCCTTTATTTATTATTAACTAATAAACAAAGGGTCCACTAATAAATTCCTGTCATTAGAGTATGTCTGTTCTTTCCACATTACTGAGCAGAGAGTCTAGTTGTTTACTAGATACTGCACAGAGACTTGACTTTTGTTTCTAGCCACATAATTTTCCCCAGGACATTTATAATACAGCAGCTCACTTAAAAGCTGCAAGGGCCTGGTGAGGGTGGTGCATGCCTTTAATCCCAGCACTCAAGAGCCAGAGAATGGGATCTCTATGAGTTCCAGGCCAACCTAGTCTACAGAGGGAGTTCAGGGACAGGCTCAAAAGCTACAGAAAAACCCTGTTTCAGGAAGAAAAAAAAAAAGGCAGTAAGGAAGTGTGATAAGGAATGGGAAAAGAGGGAAGGAGGAGGAAGAGGGAAAAAAAGAAAACACAGAATAACAAAATATTAAATGATTGTTTTTCTCAAAAGAATAATATATTCCAATTGGTTGTAATGAAGAAATCAGTATCATGTGGTGGCTAATTTAATGAACTCTGGAACCAGTTCAATTCCAGTAACTTGAACTCTGCATTACAATAGTTTTGTCTCATTAGAGAAAATAACAGTAGCATTAGCAATAATAATAAGAATAGTAATCTTAAAGGATTTCTTTTTTCTGATCAATATTTTTAACTAAAAATAGATTTTTCTCTCGTAAAATGTATCCTAACATCTTCTCTCCCTTCACCCCTCACGGCTCCCCTCCCCTCTCTCCTGACCACCCCCCCATCATTCTCTGCCCCATTTCCCTTCAGAAAGTAGCAGACATCCAAGAGACAATAACCAAAGAGGACAAAACTTTCTTTAGGTTTACATCACAGATAACTATGCATGTTGATCTTTAAATGAGGCCTGGAATAGAGTGACCATTCTATACATCTCAGATCATTATAACCTCTACTGTTCTTTTACTTAGTAAGGCAAGGTTGGATCCATAGTTCTCATAAGATGATTTCTCACCAGCTCATGGACAGATCATTTAGAGACTAATTCTAATTCAGTAAGAATGAACCTAAAAGTCTAGGTATCCCAATGAGTCCCCATGTATGTTTTGACCTAGTGCAGTGGCTTTGCTTCTTGACTTGTGCAAAGTAAAATAAAAACAGTGAAGACAATAGAAAATGGATTGAGATTTGCTACATTCCGTAGAACAAGGAAAGTAGGCAAGCTGAAGCTGTTTCGAAAGCCGTGTTCTCCTGGAACAAAGGAAGCAAAGAGATTTTATCTGAGCAGCAATGCACAGTCTTACTGGGATCTGCCAATTGGAAGTATTCTCAGTTAAGTTCATTCTTGCCTGAGCATTCTCAGTTTAAGGCATAAAGCGCATGTTTAATGATTAAAGATTAAGTGATGGACAGAAATGTCTATGGCAAGGCTCACCTTGCACCATAAAGTTGTACATGTAGTAAGTGCAGTAATAAATAACTAGCCAACCCTGAAGTTACCTGATTTAGTGGCAAAAGAAAAAAAAAGAAAAGAAAAAAGATGCCATGTCACTTAAGGATGGGTAATTGGGACTATGTTAAAGCATTTTCTTTTATACAGTCTTAGAATGTCATAGTATTTATTCACTTATTTACTGACTTATTTTACTTATTTCCTTATTCATTATTTTTTCTCTAATATATCAGGTGTGTAACTAGGTTCTTGGTAAGAAATTTAGTGCACCAGCTATTAAAGAAACAGTCTAGCTGTTACAGCAAAAACAAATTGCTTGTTGCCTAGAGTTGAAGAATAGCTTTGATCTTTGACAAAATATGGAAATCTCTGGATTTCTGAGCAAACTTGGGTTGCTCTGTCATTTCTCATTTCCTTCTTTCTGTTTAACATCTTGACTTCCTGGTGTTTGGGGCTTCACTGTCACTTCTGAAATAGGCATTTGGGGGATTACCATTGCCGATACCAACTTTGGTGGAGGCATCAATGACTAAATTTTTAGTGTGTTGTGGAATTGTTTGAGGGAATGCAGTCCAGGTACAAGTAAGAAGCCTCTTATCAACTGCTTCAGGACATCACTCTTTGCCCTTGCTGCCAGGTAAAGATAATCAGGATGAGCTTAGGGATGATCCTGGGACACAGCTTTGTCACAGCTTGCATGAACTGTTTTTTTCCATGACTCATCAGCTTTCCTAGAACGTCTGCAGTAGATTAACTTCTGGGAAAGCTTAACCAGTTGTACAATATCATCCCTTTAAAAGAAAGTTTCCAATTGTTTTGAAATTTTAATATAACTACAGTATTTTCCCTGTCCTTTTCCTTCTTCCAAACTGTACCTCCTTGCTATCTCCAATCCATCGCCTCTTTTCTCCCCTTAATTTTTGTTGCATACATATATGTATACACATGTATATTTCTAAATACACACACACAACCCTTTCAGTCTGTATAATGTTACTTGTATGTATTTATTCAGGGCTAAAATTAATTTTCAATGGAGTTAATTCCTTGTATATGATAATGATTTTATATACGTTTTTATACATTTACATTCTTTTGATTTTTTTCTCCTCGTGCTTGTGATTTCTATCCACTTCCTTATGTGATTTAATGTATTTATAAATAAATCTAGGACCTACAAATGAGAGTAACATTCAACACTTGACTTTAGTCTGACTTACTTTTCTTAATATATGATTCCCAGCGAGATTATGCATCTCCCAGATGCTGTCTTTATTTATATTAAATCCTCTTAGAAGTAGTGTTTTCCCCAAGAATATATGACATTGTCTGTGTTAAGTAAACATAGTTTAGGATATTCATATTATTGCCATTGAACAATTTATACATTTATGCTCAGAAAAGTATGTCAACTACAAGTCTATATCCACATCCCCAAACATATAAAAAGTAATCATATCCAGCTAAATGATCTTTCTCCCAGTGGTATCATGTATTATTTAAATGGTGTGATCTGCTGTGCTTAGGACAAAGTTAAAACCTAGGATTCTATAAGTAGTCAATAAACCAAACACTGACTCTATTAAAGAAGCTGAATCATCATTAGTGATAAAAAGATGATGGAAGTATAAAGTGTACATCAATTAGCACCTACAAGTCTCATCCTACCCATTTCTCTAGTTTCGCTTTCATGGGTGGAGAGAGATTGTATTAATCTATCAGCTACTGAATTAACCAAAAAGTTCTCAATCTGTATCAGCTAAATTTCTTATTCAACTGAGAAAGTAAATTCTTTTTTTTCCCTTTTATTAAAATGGATTTTTTTCCTATACTTAATATATCATGATTCCAGTTTCCCTCCCTCTACTCCTCCCAGATGCGCCTCACCTTCCCTCGCATCTGGATCCACCTATTTCTGTCTCTAATTAGGAAACAAATGGGCTTCTAGGGATAATAATGAAATAAAATATTAAAAAACAAAACAAAAGCTAACACGCCATAATTGGAAAATAAACAAACAAATAAACAAACGAAAGGAAAAGTGCCTAAAAGAACACCAAAGAAACAAATAATGATTAAGAGACTCACTGGTTCTCACACTTAAGACTCTCATAAAAACACTAAACTGGAAGCAATAACATATCCAAAGGA